TCTTTGTGATTTTCCCATTTCTTCGTTTCTATTCTCGATCCTTTGATATACGATGCTGTATTTATTCATCATTTTTTTTTTCATTGTTTTCGGGTCGGGGTCACAGTTTCGTTTCGTCAGTCTATATTTATATTTGTTCTTTTATTGCAGTAGTAAAGGTATGGTGAATAATGAATGAATTGAAGCTTTTTTCTATCCAACAGAAAAATCCATAAATCTTGCACTCCATACTTGCCTCACTTGATTCCTCATTCCTTGATGCGGTTTTAATTATTATAGAGTGGTGCTGGAGGGGGGGGTCTGATTTATTACCATTTACCAGGTCTCGGGGCACTGTCGGTACATCGACTCACAGCATGGGAGGGACTACAGGAGGACCAATATTACTCGCACTCACTCTCACATGCATGAATGATTAACGATTATATGATGAGAATAAAATTGTGACTACTGACTAGTGAGGGGACTGAGGAAGTGAAGAGTGAGTCACAGGAAGGTGGTGGTCTGCTTCCCAGTCACCACGGAAAGCAACTTCCAACGGAACACACCAACTTGTCTTCGCCTTTGGCGTTGGGTTGAAGTTGAGGTCTCATCGTCATCTCTCTCATAGTCATGATCAGTCGGGTCATTAGTCATGTTGATATTGATATCGTCGTCATACATAGGGCATGTGATGGGCCCCTCATTTCAACCCATTTTATACCAAAATTGCACATCATGCAATCGAAAAGATACATGGTTTGTATCTCCAAACTCCAAAGACGTCGCCTCGCCTCTTAATTTTGAGTTTTCAGTCAGTAGCATATTACATCCAGTTAGTTATAACACCACATATGGTCATCATGTGCCACTAGACGCGACGCCCAACCCAACCCAAACTGGTAACCGTGCTTAATTATTGTGTGGAACTGGGGTCCTCCCATCCGATGGGTGATCTGCTTTTGCGGCCAATTCGGATGGCTCGAACACATCTCATGTACCCGGACAGGAACAGGATGGATGGACAGTGTTTCTAAATTCTAATTCAAAGTTCATGTGGGCTGGGCCTGGGGGTACTCTTCAAAGTTCAAATTCAATACTACAGCTCACTATCTCTGTGACTGTCTCAGCTCGGCCGTTACATGTTTTTGACTCGGACTCATCACTCRTCCACATGCTGCCGGTGCCCGGTGGTTGTGTCGCTGTAATCAAAACTCAAAAGCAATCCCGCGGTTCATCATGCTCTGCAAATCCAAACACGTAAAATCACAACGCAATCAGGGAGTACTGGGGATATTATTTTTATAGATTATACAAGCCAAGGTGCATTCCAGCTTGGTTGCCTCAGGAAAAGGATCGTAAATTATTATTATTATAAAAAAAAAGTGGAAACAGAAACGCGTCGAGACCATTTATAATACCCCTTTGATATTTGGAATAAGTTGGATCCATCATCATCCATTGGTTTTGGTTCACTGTGAGGCCCACTACCATAATTTCTACTTGAAAGAGACAAAGCTTTCATTTTTCATTCATTTGTTGTTTTTGCGTGAGGAGGATAGGTGCGTTATCACGCCATGCGTACGTTATATTCTTCGTCATTTTTTCTTTTTCAGGAATTACTATACTACCTTATATACACTCTGGACTGGAGTGGACTCTTATTAAGGAGATGTAGTAGATGCTTTGCAGTTTGCAAAGAGATAGCRGGCCCATTCCATTATTAGGGAGATTCATTTCATTAGTCAATATGAAGTCCCTTAATATGGCAATCATAATCCTCTCTCACTGTTTGTTTTGGTGTGGTGAGTCTGGTGACCGGTGGTGGTACTTTCACGTGCTCTGTTTTAATTTCAGTGCTACACGTGGCAGCTTGCATAACTCCCACGTGGTGTTGTTGGTCTCTCCGTCTATTTGGACGGTTCCAATATTTTAACTTCGAATTGCTATTTGTCTCGTGATATGGAAGAAACATGGTTTGCTTTGTCAGGCAAGTGGGCTGATGAAGACAACAGCCTTGCATTATACAGTGTCAGTCATTAAAATCCTTCAATACTAAGAAGTTGCCATGTCATCACTACAAAGCTTTCAAGCCTCCACGTAGACTAGTAGCCTAGGCAAACAGTTTCTGAGTTCTGAGTTCCTATCCAGTTCTTTTGAGAGAGAGAGAGATGAAGAAGGTTGAGAACATTGTCGTCTGGCAAGTGGGTCATTGTAGGAATAATAAGTTCAGCAAGGATAAAAAGGAAGGGAATTTTTGTTACATTGTCTTCAACTTCTTGGTTGAGAGAGGGGCCAATTTATAGCTACAAATTGGTACTGTAAATCCCAATATAATCAATTGGGCCTTTTTTTGGGATAATTGTACAACCAATTCAAAGTGCAGGGTTTCAATTGAGTTTACGGTGATACAAAGATCTGAATAAAAATTAATCAATATACAGTCATACACAGATGCAAATTCCTTCTCTCTCTCTCTTACCAACTACCTTATCCAAATTTTCACAACACTACACTACTACACTCTACTTTTGTTTTGTAGCTTAGTCATTGGATGGGGTTCCCACCACACCAGTACTCCCAATTCCCGAAAATTTGACGTAGACACAACCACCCCACTTCACATGTGGGCTTCTCCATAGACGCTATTTTGTCCTCTGACACAGTGACACCTACCAATTTGCATTGRATGGTTAGGAGGGTTCCAATCAAGTCAAACCTTTACTCAACAAATCCACTCTGTAAATAAAGCCCACTATGTGTACGGTCCAAATCCAAATACCCAACTACGGGAATGGGAGAAGCAAGAACTAATGACAGCTTTGCAATCTAACATAATAACCAATAAACTAATCGATAATTAATAGGTTTTACTTGTACAGTATGACACTATAACTAGTAGTGCTGCTATCAACGATCAAATTACAGAAAACATACCAGCGTAAAAAAAGTAATAGCTTATAATTTTATATAATTAAACAGGATCCAGAATTCTTGATTGAGCCGTTGACAAAAGCTAAAAGCTACACCAGACTGATGTTATCATTATGTGCCCGTCTGGGAAGTTTTTCGTCTTACATTGTGGGCTCCACCTAAACAGTATGTAGAAATTTGGCACCGGCAAACCCAGATTAGATGTCCTACAGCCTTAACGTCGAAGCTTCTTTTAGTGGCTTTTCCAAAGGATCAAACATCAAAGCAGCTCAACCAACAGCTTCAATCCTCCAAAACGATTCCCGTTCCGTGCGAAACCGGATCTGCTCCTCACACTTAGCGTTTCACATTCACATCCTACCATGCATCGGGAATATCTTCTGTAGTTATCAATTATTATTCATAGTAGATGTTTTCAATGCATAGAGGATGTGTATGTGAAGCGCCCTTTTGTGAGGAGCAGGTCCCGTCTCTCTATAGGCGTTCAGATCATTTACATTCTGCACGGATTCGTAGATTTACGCCTCCATGTTAACATTTCGAAGTTCGAAATTCAGAATTTACATCTGTGCCCTACAAACCCCTCAACATATTGTAACATAATGGGATTTGTTCCTCACAAATGAGTGCCTCACATGCACATCCATGCATTCCGAACATGATAGGATGTGTGTGAAACACTCGTGAGGCGTCACATGTGAGGAGTATATTCGGTCTTTATCGTAACCGTATATTGAGAACATTTCTCGTATTTTCCATAATGTCATTGRAAAATACTCTCAATACATGGTTGAAATGTACTGTGGGAGCATTTGTGGGCCTTGCACTGACTGAATTCGGTTTCCCCTCTGTGGGGACGCAGATGTAAATTCCGAAATTCACCGTCAGTCTGTCGCCACCAATTATACCGAATCCAATCCAATAGAAATGTGGCAAATCTCGGACCGGACGTTTCCGCATATCGATGGTCCACCGACACAGAAATGCGGGCGCAGTGGACCCCACAACTCCCTATCTTACATGTGAACTCACATACACCGATAAATAATTTTATTTCATATTTCCCTGCCTTTCGCCGATTTTACATCTGCCCCCATAGAACGCGCCCCTAAAACGCCCCATATATACATCTCATCGTACATTAAGAATATCTTTCGTATTCTTTTTTTTCTTCAATAGGGGTAATTCATCCCCTTTCTCTTAACCCCCTAACCCCGGTGCCAGCGAAATTTGATCTCAGGTCTCTAGTCTGTCGAATTGAGAGATGCTCCCAATGCACGGTGAATGTGCATGTGAGGCGCCCATTTGTGAATGACGAGCAGATCCCGTCACCATCTACACCCGTGACACCTATTCTTATTCGTGAGAACGGCATAAAAATACAAGTATCTCCTTCCCGTGCTTCAGCTCTACTCTCCTCACCCCTCACTTCCTCAGTCCTCGCGTTCTCCTGCTCTCTAGTCTCTACTTCTACTGTCACTACGAGACGTTGTCGCAAAGGGAGAACGAGGGGATGAGTCGATGACTGAATAAAGGGGTAAAAGATTTATAAAATTTTTGTCTTTGGATCTTTGTCGATTACTTGTGTCAGTGTTCTCCTAATTAAATTTGATTAAAAAACTGTAGAAGGTAAAAACGAGAGTGAAGACAAAGGGGAGAAAATTGCTTCCGTCCTTGGAATGAAGGATTAGTTGATTACCTTCGGTAATTACATTTCAAAATCTGTGTTCAATTATATGTTTATCTTCACGCTTCACAACTGAAAAGTGTTTTTTTTTCGCAATCAACCACCAATCGATTTTTAGCTTTTTTAACTTTGAAACCTTTTCGTCGATTCTCACCGCCATTAATCTGTAATTATAACGACTTGATTTGTGTTAGTGCTTTAATTTAGGGTTTAGGTCGAACTGTCGAAGTAAATGTCGGGTTCAAGTTAGCAAAAAAGTGATCTTCATCTTCGCTCAAGCCCGTCCGGTGAATTTCGGCTTCCGTGCCAGATCTAGCTAATAGCTAGGGCTTCTGACAAGGATTCGGATTTGGCGATTAATTTATTAGAGGTAGATCTGCTATTAATGTAGGTAGAAATCTCCATTGAGAGAGCTAATCCCGAGTCGTTGAAACTTGAAATATTCTATTGGAAAAGAGTTGATGGTAAGAAATCGTAACTGCTCGGAAATAGGGTAAAATTTATCATCGTGGGAACACCGTTTGTTAATTGGCGTCTCTTATCGGATGGTTATTTATCAAAGCAACTGAGAATTACTGTTGGGATAGATTTCTACAGCTCGGCTCGGGATGGGATGGTCAATGGTGGAGTGTCTATTAGGAAACTCGAACTCCTGAGTCTTGAGGGGTGAAGTGATTTTCGCACATTCCAGTCATTCATTTATTATCGGGTGGCATGAAAGTATGGTAATCACGAGCGCGATCTTCTCTTTTCCGTCCATCCGTCAATAAAAGAAAGCAAGCAGGAGTGCGATAGGAGAAGTTTTTAAGAGAACAAACCGGAGTCGCATAGTCTCAATACAGTCGTCAAGTGATGGCGTAAGATTGCATGAAAACCGCAACTTAAGAGGCAGGAATTCAGGCTCTTTCTCCCTTTCTCGCTCGAGAAGGTAGGTTTGGATGTGTTTGAAATCTAAGCAAGGCTCTTACTAGGTCTGCTGTCGGTTGGTTGGTTTAGGATACCCACGTCGTTCCCTTAATGTTTATTGCTTCTTTTCAAAAACAATTTTTTTTTTTTTGGTGCGCGTTTTGCACTTTTTAATAGTCAAAAGTCCGGCTTTCTGTTAGTCGGTTGATCTGGATGAGTTCCTCCTACCGTACTGGTTTTCATTTTTTAGTTTCTCAGTCCTAGGTACTCAGTACTCACAGCTCAGCTGAGCTTTAACTGAACTGAACTCACCCATTCGCGGACCTGTTCATTGGGGTGGTGGTAATCCCCTGGGACCTATTAAATGGCCTGTAATCCGTGTGTGCTTTCTTACTTCTTGGTTTTCTGAATCTGGGTTTCTTCGTTCTCTTCCCATTTCTTTGTTGTGGTTGACGAGCGGTGACGCTTAGTAAGTCTCTTAATTTTCTGGTAGAAGTATGATTTTCCAATTCCAATGTAATTTTTTAGTTGGTTTTTGATCTAGTTCGCAAATTCTGCTTATAGATCTTGCCCCGGAGGCTCCTTTTTCATTCTTCCCTGTTGAGCGTGAAGAAAATGTTCTTGATTCGATTTTATTTTGTTTGCGGTTCTTATTTTCAGGCGTCGAGAATGTCGCGACCGCTTCAGCGTAGTAGTATATCAGGTGGTGGACGGATCGTGGAGAGCAGCCGTGACTCCTGGGACTCTCAGATGAAATCCAGAAGTCCCAGAACAGAGAAGGAGGACGTGGATAGGAATCGCTCTTCTCCTGATCACACTTCTCTATCACTTCGTTTCCTTGTAAATTTGTTTTTTCCGGACAACTCTTCCTTCAAATCAGGTCTTACCGATAATGGTTTTGGATCTGACCCCTTCAACATGGGAAGTTCAAGAAGTCGGCAGAACCTAACATTGCTTTTCCTCAGAATCAGTTTAGTTTTGATTGTGATTCTTGCTCTTTCTGGATCTCTTTGGTGGACAATCTCCATCTCGACGTCCTCGAGAGGCTATATCTTCAGGGGTTATAGGCGGCTACAGGAGCAACTCATTTCGGACCTTTCAGACATTGGGGAGCTCTCTCTGGGTGCTGCAAGGTTGACAGAGCTAGATTACTGTTCCGAGGAGTCTGAGAACCATGTGCCGTGCTTCAACATTTCTCAGAATCTTGAATTGGGTTACTCTGATGGCAATGAGTATGACCGTCAATGTGGACATGGATCGAGGCAGAGTTGCCTAGTTGTTCCTCCCAGAAACTATAGAGTTCCTCTAAGGTGGCCTACTGGAAGAGATGTCATCTGGATTGCGAATGTGAAAATTACTGCCCAAGAGGTCCTTTCTTCTGGCAGCTTGACCAAGAGGTATGGGAATTTTCTTCCTCAAGCAATTTTGTTTCACGCAGTCCTCTATACCCTGTGATTTATACGACCTATCTGTATGGTTGCAGGATGATGATGTTGGAGGAAGATCAGATATCCTTTCGTTCAGACTCTCTTATGTTTGACGGGGTTGAAGATTACTCTCATCAAATAGCTGAAATGATTGGGCTGAGAAATGAATCTAATTTCATTCAGGCTGGGGTAAGTGAAACCTTGTTTTTTGTTAGAGACTACCGTTTTCTTAATCATTGTCATTGCCTTCTCTCAGTTCTGCAGCCTTACGTTTGATTCTTGTAACTGCTATTCATTAATCTTCCATTATTTGTTTCTTTTGGAGCATCAAAATTGAATGGAATTTACTAATTAAACTTTGCCATGCCRACTGTCTCTTTGGGCTAAATTTAAGACTTTTCTTCCTTAATAGATTTTGCTGTTCCTATCCTTGGGCATTGTCTTCAAGTTCAGTATAACACAAGGTTGTTTAGGGGTAAGAAAATAGTGGGCTCAATGTGTGACATGGTTACAACTCTATTGTGACTGAAAGGTTCTCTGTTTAAGCTTACAGGCCTTTAGATTGGTGCAGAAGGAGAACCAGGTTAAGAAAGAAAAGGATTCCCATCACAAATTGATAATGACTTAGCACATCTTGGTACAAAGATTAAATGAGACCAACCCGGTGCTGGTCTTGGCTATCTGGGATATTCTGAAGGGTGAGCCGGATATGGACTAATGGACCTAGCCTTAGTTTTTTTCCCTGGGGGCGGGGAGCACAGAGTGGCTGTGAGACAAAAAAAAAAAAAGAAAAAGAATGTATAAGGGAAGTTGGATTTAGAAAACCACGAAATTCCATATGAAATAGCCTCAATGTTTTCTTTACTACAGGATCTTGTTATCTTTTAACTTTAAACAGTTTCATTAGTTATAAATTTTGTGGTAACTCAATTCAATTTAACTTAAAAACTTGTAATTATTTAAATCTATGAACCCAATGAGTTCCTTTATTAAAAACATGCTGTTATATGGTTCATCAGGCATAGCAGATTGTCACAAAATTCTAAATTATTTTCTTGTGTAATCCGATCTGAGTTGAAGTCTATTTGAATTTGAATCTGGTCTTATCATTGGCTTGATCACCATATTGCCTTGTCCAAAATATCATTTTGGGCTTGACTAGATTCAGCCATTTTTTTAACCGAAGGACATATACATGATAATGATACATATTTAATCTTCCTCAGCAATTGATGATCCTTGATTTCAGAAATAAGACTAGTTATAAGTTCCTTTTCAGTAATAGAAGGGAATCAATATTAATTTCCACATAAACCTTTTCAGGTTAGAACTGTCTTGGATATTGGATGTGGCTATGGCAGCTTTGGAGCCCATCTCTTTTCAAAGCAACTATTGACCATGTGCATTGCAAACTATGAAGCTTCAGGGAGTCAAGTTCAACTAACTCTAGAAAGAGGTCTTCCTGCTATGATTGGTTCTTTTACTTTAAAGCAATTGCCATATCCTTCTCTTTCCTTTGACATGGTGCATTGTGCAAGATGTGGCATTGACTGGGATCAGAAAGGTATTATTAAGCATTATCTATGCTTATGGCAGCACAAAGCCACAAACACTAAGCATATGCTTGTACTTGTATAAGTATTATTTTGCACATTATGGCTGTTACTTTGTTTCTACATGATAATTTGATTATAATGACAGTATGAATAACAAATAAATCATTGATGTACTAATTTACTACTCTGGACTTACCCAAAAAGAAAAGGAAGAACAAAAAACATTTCATTTAGTTTATCAATATAATGATCTTACTCCAGTGAAGTATTCCATTAAACTGCTATTGTCATATTTCTTTCTCCTCTAAGCCAATAGCTGAATTATGGTAATGTGCTTTAATCATTCAAGTTGAAGAACTTGCTGAGATAGGAGATTCAATATGTACCCTCTATCACCATACAAGAAACAATGGCTAAAACAATTGAAGATGCTTGACTGGCTGTGCTACCTTGCCTTTCTTTTTTATATATATATTGATATACGTGGAGCTTATTTCTCCTCTTCAGATGATTAAATCTGTAGCAAAGTCATATTGGTAGATGAGTGTACTCGTCTAACATTCTACTAGGTAATTGTAAACTCTCAGATGTGGGAGAGTCATAACAACATGTTGTGCTTGCTATTTGTATTGGTGGAGCTCTGGTATTATGAAATTGATCTTAGGTCATTGATTATGTTGAAGGAAATTAGTCTCCACATTTTGTATTTTGTTCAGATGTGATTATATTGATAGTGGAATTTTGGACTAATTCAGACTCATAATAGTAATCATCGTAATAAATTAACATGTAATATGTGGTAGAAACGAAAAGAGAACGCATATATTATGTAAAAAACTGAAGGAGGGTGCTGAATCTAGTATTTAAAGAACTAGTGCTTTGATAAACAAGATAAAACATCACTTTTAGATACAACAATCCAATAGGCTCCATCTCCTCAAAATTTTCTTTCACGCCCTATAAATTTTGAGTAGTTGTTGCAGTATTCATGGACATGGACACAGGAATCAGAACCCAACATATGTCCAGGAGTCTGACTTGGCATGACAAAGAAACAAGTACTCATGGAAACGTCTGTATTCAAGTATATATACTATTAAATGTTGAACTTCAACATTACAAACCCATAGAAAAAGGTCTAATAGATCATCTTTGTTACTTAATAACGTGTTATAGGAAAAATGACATTCATTTTTTATATTACCTGTTTGTTTATGTTGAATAATCAAGGAGAAAAAGAAAAAATATCACATAGAAGTGACCTTCAAGAGTTCCATGAAATGTCAGAGCCCTATGCATGTCTGACATTGAAATTTAATCRATTTAGGAGAGTTCATCCAACAATGGTTGGCTCTAAATATGAAAAATGTAGAAATAGCGATTTCCGCTGTATGTTACTGATCTAAAAATTTAAGCTGGTGTCGCCTTAATTGAGGCCTGAGCAGTATGATTAGTAACATACAAGCAAATATTTTCGCCACGAGTTAGTAGATTATTTTTATTACTTTGCCTAACCATGATGAAGAATCTTGGAAATATGTTATTTTTGCATACTAATGCTCTGTTGAGGGCCCGGAAATAGGATCTCGTCACGGGGAAAACCTCCTGTTTTCCCTTGTTCCTTCCTGCTCGTGATGAACCTATCTTGGCGCCTTCGGTGATTTGTCCAAGAGATCACCAACTCTCCTAACTCACTCTTGACTGAATAATTTGATATCTCATTCAATAATGGGGTCTCCTTAAATA